CTGCATTCTCTATAAAACCCTCCCAAAGAGTGTGGTGAAATGAAATGCATCACATGTCATGCTATGTTTTTATTTTCTATGTTACTTAGACCGAAATATAAATTTTTTGTTTCCCAATTATACCAAACCAAACTGTAGAATTTGCATATTCTTCTTACTGTTGTGTGCAGCTCCAGAAACATTGTCCAACCAGAAAGCAGGAAATTATCCTTGGTTTCTTGTGTCCATTATAGTTTGTTTTTTCCATTAATCCGCATGGGAACAATTTATGGGAAAGTGGCAAAAACCGTTTCTTAAATGATTAGATAATCTTAATTTCATCTTTGTTTTTCTACGTGAAGTTAATTTTCTCTCAAACTAGGGAAAACAAAGTACCAATATATTTACTCCTGTAATTACAAGGGAAAACCCATGTTTAGGATATAAGATTAATTACGCACGTAATATTGGCAAATGTAAGAACCTAGATTTTGCGAAACAGAATTGACTCCTCTATCGCAGGTGATGACAAATCAGGAGGCTTGTGACTGTATCAGGGATGCAGATGATGCGCAGAAAGCATCTAAAAAGTTAATTAAAGAAGCTAAATCTATGGGAAGCTACGATGATATTTCATGCATAGTTATTATGTTCTAGCTACAACATAATGGATGTTTCTTTATTTAGTCAATATTTCCCTTTACATCATGCCAAGTAATCTTCTACACAAAATGCCATGCTCCAACGATTTCTTGAGCAGCCAAAAGTTTCAAATTGTGTCAAGAATCAACAAAATTTAGGCCGTTATTTATTAACTTTTTTTGTTTTTTGTACATGTTACTAAGTTGTATATTTAACGTGGTCTAATGTGGAAGTAGCAACTAGCAGCTTGAGGCAATGCCTACATATTTTACGCCAACGCCATGCAATTATTTAGTAACTTCATTTTTTTTAAGAGTTTATAATATATAAAGGGGCATCTAATGTTGCAAAAGTGTTCCTTTCTTATTTTAAAAGAAAAATCGTTCTTACACAGCCAAACATATTTTAACTACAATTATGAAACAATTTTTGTTTCTCGGAGAATTTCTACTGGTATTTTTTACATATATATATATATACAAAAACTCAATAGGACAGTTTTTTCTTCAAGTTTTTTCCCAAGAGTTTTTTAATTAAAATTTTCTTTTTTTTAATTATGTAAGTTTCAAAAGAAGAAAAAAGAAGAAACTGTTTTGGGTTCTTTTAGGAAAAAACTAAAGAGGTTACCATAAAATCATTAATTTATAGCTCAAGCCAAAGTTTTATCTGTTATAATAGTAAAATTCATTATTGTTACTACACCAAAGTTTTACCCATTTACGTAACGAGTCATTATTTTATTCAGGGCCATTCTGTTGGTAGTAGTTACTGTTGACCTCTAGTATTTCTGTTAGTTTCTCTAATTCAGTTATAAATGTACTAATGAGTTGAGCTCAACTGTAAATATGAGCAACTCATCTATTGTAATTGATTCAATATATGAATACATTTTCTTAATTTTATCTCATGTTAACTCTGGTTTCTCTGAACTCTAGATCTCAAATATGATAGCATAGCTCTTTTGCTCTGCACTGATCCCAGAAACTCAGATGATAAATGTCCACTCTATCAAAAACCTAATTTTCGTCTCAATTTAAAATTTCAAAACCATTATAGTTACATGGCGTAAAAATGGCTGTTGCTACTAATTTTACATAAGCCAATAATCAAGCAAATGATAGCAGGCTTACCATAAATTATCATTATCTCATGTTAAAACATGCCTGGCTTCTATGTCCTCAAGCCTTAGGGTAACTGCTAGCTTGTGGGCATCGAGACCTTCAACTTCAGCCATGGTTGCTACATATGGCCCAAGTTTTCTCAGGCCTTCTTCTGTGAGAGATTGCACTGTTATGTACTTCAAGAAAGAATCCAATGAAACACCACCATACATCCTTGCATAACCATAAGTGGGAAGAACATGATTTGTCCCACTTGCATAATCACCAACGCTCTCTGGTGTCCATGGCCCTAAAAATACGGAACCTGCAGAGGCAATCAACGGGCATGTAAATCCAGGATCTTGAATTGCGATCAAGGAGACAGAACGAGGTTATCAAATGAATCTAAAGGTCATGGAAAAGGCAGAAAAGGGTCTATACTATGTACCATGTCACATCTAAATAGGTTCTCGACAGTTTTTTTTCTTAAAAAAAGGGTGTTTGCATCCAGTTTAATTTTGAGCAATGTAAGGGAATGCAGACATAGTATAGTACATATGACTAGCAACAGAGGTTCATATCTCCGACCCCCCTACATCATAAGAAGACAGCAACTAATGACAAGACTAAGCCATACCTGCATTCTCTATAAAACCCTCCCACTTCTCTGCATCCTTCACATTGACAATTAGATGCTCAGGTGCATATAAGTTTGAGAATTTGATTGACTGCAACATGAAAAAGAAACTTCTAGTTCTGAAACACAAGCAAAAACATAATAAAGATGTTGAGAAGTTGAAACCTAACTAGCTCGAAGAATTTAGGATCTCAGTGAAAATCGTAAATTCAAAGAAAACAAGGTTCTAAATTATGACTTATCAAGAGAAAACGCTAGCATTTAATGCAACATACATACGTATAGCACCGTGGTATATGTATATCTGGTAAAAATAAAAAGGGACTAAGCATATACGGTTATATGTGTCAACTACTGCTGCACATATGTAAATACAGATACAGAGAAGCCTAAAGTCTGTGTTAGTGCTTCTGAACAAATTTTTTTCTCTCTTCCTCTTTTCTATTCACTCTGCTTTTAGTGGGAATGAGAATACATAGATGAACTTGGACAATAGTACTGACCTCAAGCATATCATGTGCATAAACAATAAAACTATGGGTCAGGGCTTTAGCAGCAAACTCTCCTCTTGGAAGACTCTGGCACTGCTTTTTGAGTTCCTCCTCGATGGCATTCACATCCACACCTTCACCAGTAATCACAAGCACAACCTGGCTATCAGGGCCATGCTCAGCCTGAAAATCATAAATTAGTTGCAGACGCATCAGCATTGTATAAAAGGTCAAAGCGTTCTTAGGCTGGTGGTGTGATTGTGAAGTATATCCTGTTTGAGAGTAAATCCATGCTACCATTTATAATCAGTATATAAAGTGCTAGTCTTTCTAGGTAAACAAAAAAGTGCTTGTCTTCCTTATTTTTCAAATTGTAAAGCATAAGGGTAGTAATTAAGGAACACAGACTTAGCAAGACTCGGATGAAATGGATGTCTCAACAGTTAACATTATCACATTTTTCAATAAAATCATTTAATCACATTTTGAACATAGTTATTGGTGACACGGTATATTTCTCCAAGCCTAATCTATCCCCAATAGCTTGTACATGTTTATCATATTCGTAATCATCAATTCATATATTGGTTGGTGTCTCATAATTTATATATTATTTTTATTTCCAATTACAAAAGAGAACAGGAATACCCACAAAATGTCATGTCTTACTCAATTACTTGTTACTGTCATCGTGTCAACGTTGCCCGTCTCTCCATCAGTGTAGTTCACACTAGAAGACAGTTGTTCCAAACTTCCAATTAGTTCTCTCTGTCTATTTACACATCCACCTTTCCAACAATCCATGAATTATAGAATGTGATAACTTGGACCCGAATTTTTATCCCAAGGTAGTTGCACATGACCTATAATTTTTTTATTTATTTGTGTCATCATATGAAAAATTGTATACTGTAGCTAAAAATCGAAGTGCAGATGAACTACTACAAGACCCTGGAAAACAAACTCAGCCAAGTGCCAAGAGAGTATAGTATTACCTAACATAGAGCCACTTATCTCCACAGTTTAAAATATTTGGGAGCAGCCATGCCATGACTATTTTGATTGTGATTTTCCTAGTGTTATCAACTTATTATTGTGCTTTATCACTTGAAATCTTAAACATTCTACTGATTTATTTTAATACAGATGTAATACTTGAGTAATTAATGTGCATGGAAAATTCATGTAAAATGGTTTATTATTCTTCTCTTTGTAAAGTTCATTTCCTTTTTCAGCCAAACATGCACTTTCGGTGCCTCTTAGTCTCTTACTTCAAGCATTAAAAGCCCCTAGAACATGACTTTTAACACCCTGATTGATACTGAATTGGGTTTTGGAATAATTAACATCATAATATAGAAATAGAAGCTTTTAGATGGTTACTTGTATTAATCATAATTGGGCCAAGAGATGCTTTTTTAAGAGAGTGAAAAGGAAAGATAATAATTCTCACTATGAATGTAGATAGTATTTCATATACTAAATAGAAGCTTTTTAGACTTCAGAATACCTGGGAAAGCAAATCGGCAGCTACATGACGAGGAATCGCATGCTTGTCAGCAATGACTAAAACTTCAGATGGACCAGCTGGCATGTCAATTGAAACCATGGCTTCACTGTTCTGCAGAGAATTTTGAACAGTAATGTAAAGCAGGATGAACCATAAGATCTGAAGAGTTAAACGCAATATATAAAATACATAGGGAGAGAGAGATTCAAAGCTCACTTGCAGTATCATTTTTGCAGCTGTGACATATTGGTTTCCTGGACCAAAAATCTTCTCAACCTACAAAAGAATAATCACAAACTCATGATAAGAAATTATGCAAAAATATTCAAGAACTATGAAGTATTTAAATATTTTGTGAAAAAACCATTTCAAATAATGTTATGTATCTGTTATATATAACATAATGCATTGAATATCTCCAAAAAATCTTCAATATGAGCAAATTCTGACAAAATATCACAGTTTGTTATAGTGTATCCAAAGAATTAATCATAAATTAAGAATACATTAAGACGTTCAACCTATCAGGGGTGTGGCGGGAGTCCAAGAGCCATATAAGAGTTTTGACAAGCCAAACCATGAATTTGCACCAACACAGAATAAGATATACAAGAAATAAATAAATAAAATCCACATAGGATAACACATGTAACACTAGAGAGGATCTAATAGCTACAAACAATAATTGAACGGAAATTCCAATAAAACAAATGAGATTATAATGAGAACATCTACCTTGGGACAAGTTTCTGTTCCCCAAGCCATGGCAGATATTGCCTACAATATCACAAAATGTCATATTAATCATTGTTTAATCATAACCATGATAATACAAATCCACAAACATACAATTAAACAAGGATATTAATCTCAAATTATTGAGACAGAAAAGACAAGGGTGAAGTTATCATGCTTCAAACCTGAGCTCCTCCTGCTTTGAGGATGTGAGTCACCCCGGCCTTCTTTGCACAATACACTACCTCCTGCAGCAAAAAACATTGGTCAGAAAAGGAACTAACCTCACAATTATATCTTCTTACAATATAGACAAGTACCTTGCATATAGTGCCATCCTGAGCTGGAGGAGTTGCAAGAACGATAGTTTTACATCCAGCAATCTGTGCAGGCTGGCATATAAAAAAATAAATAAAAAATCAAAGGTCAACAAAATCCAAAAAATCAATCGCGATGCAACTAATAGGATGGAGAACAATACCACAAACTAATTAGACATGAATTCAACTTACAACTGAAAGCATGAGAGCTGTTGAGGGTAATACAGCAGTTCCCCCTGGAACATAAAGGCCCACAGAATTAATACTTCTCGCAACTCGCTTGCATCGAACTCCCTGACATTTTCAGAAAACTCAAGACTCACATAACACAAACATTAAAGCTTGATAATGAAATGAAATAACATTAAAATTGAAATATCAACATAGAAAAGATAGACGAAGTTAATCAAGAACAAAGACGCATATACGACCACAAGTGAGTACTGGCAGAAAAATAAACATTTCTATGTTAAAATAGAAAATTAGAAATATCATACTTTCATGTTCTCAACATTTCTTTCAGGTGTCCTCTGAGCAGCATGAAACGCATAAATATTATCGTAGGCGATATCAAAAGCTTCCTTAACACGTGGATCGAGCTGCAACGCAAAAATCAAACAAATAAATAAATAATTTAAACTAAAACAGTTAGATAAACAACAAATATCAAACATACCAGTGGATCCGGAAGGTCGGAGACAAGTTGAACAATGTTATCAAATTCAGCTTTGTCGAATCTGAAAGTGTATCTGCAAAAACACGGAAAGAATCGAGAGGACGATAGTGAGCGTAAGGAGGATGATAATAATGCGAATGAAAAGAGAGAAGAATGGAGAAGCGCGAACTCTTTGACAGCAGCATCGCCTCTTTGGCGAACGTGGTCAACAATGGGGTTGACCTGCAAAGAGAAGCGTGAGAAAGGAAGAGCGAAGAAAGAGGGAAAAAGAGAGTGAAGAGCGAAGGGATAGAGAGTGGACCAGAGCGAAAACGGAAGAGAAATCGATGCGAGGGCGAGCGATGAGGCTGCGAACCTCGTCGTCGCTCAGCTCTGAAAATCGATATGACTTCATAACCCAATCAACAACGCAAAACAATGGCTTCTTCTCTTCTCTAGTTATACTTTCACTCCACCCTCGCTCTTTTCTTTTCTTCTATTATAAGAGACTTTCTGACCATAAACTTACGCCTAGTCCTAGTTGCTATTTTTCAATAAAGTATTGCGAATGGAAAAAAATAAATAAATAAATAAATTTCACTAAAAAAATAAATAGATTGGGAAACCCTCATTTGGACCATATTTCCTTAGTTACGAAGTACTACGATGAGAGCATCAGTGGTAGGGTGACCCGAGACAAGTGCTGATGCAACGCGTGGAAAAATTGCTAGAGCATGTGTAGAAATCACTTTGGACCAGCCAGTGGTAGGGAAGGTTCGGTTTTATGATCACTAGTTTAAGATCAAATGTGAAGGCTTGCATCTTATTTGTAAGGGATATGAACTATATGGTCACACAATGACTTTTTGCCTTAAAAACAAACTTGACCAGTCGTTGGTGTCGTCGATAGGGATAGGGGACAACGATGACATATTAGGAACAAAGGAAGGAGGCAATCAATCCTCTCCTCATTCAATGCAACCTCCACATGAGAATCTGGAGATAATGATATGTATGGAGATCGGCTAATAGTGAAAAAAGGTAAAAAGATCAATAGAGTTATCAATAATGTGGATAGGATAACTTTATGCATGTCATTTCCATCATTATAATTTAGCTAGAAAAGAATTACAATTTTGAAGGAGGTGCAACAAGTGGATAAGGCGGTCGTGGGAATAATGGAGACATTTAAGGTGGCTTTTGATAATAATAGATATGTGGCACAAAAAAATGTGTGGGAAAAGCCATATCAGTGAGGTAGTGGAACTAGATTTGGATATGATTAATACCCTTATTATAAATCATGTCGTGGGTCCTAGCAAGAAAGCAATGAAAGCTATCACCAAAATGCATGAGTTTGCACGACATTCGAATCATGATGGATGTGGAAGTCATAAGTCCTAACCGGCTTCAATGGGTTCACAAACCTAAACCACCGTACCAGAACAAGGGAGTAGGAAACTTGTGTTTTCATGATGGTGACATGGAGGTGGTAAAGGATGAATCATTGTAGGGAACAAAGATGGAGATGGTTGCAAAAAAAACCCCACCAAGGATTGGGAACATGAAGGATACTCCATGGTTGCTATGGAGGAAGCCCAAGCGCAGAGGCTCTTATGGTTCTTGGAAAGGATTGTTTCTCTAATTATGCATGTATCTGTTCAACTTCCATTTCATTTCTTTGGAATGGAAGCAAAGTGGATTCTTTCACTCTCAGTTGGAGACTCCATCAAGGCGATCCATTATCCCCTACCTCTTTGTTTTGTGTATGGAACGATTAGGCGATCTAATTTCTTTGGAAGAAGTTGCAGTCGAGCAAACGGAAGCCCGTGCAAATGTCTAAGGGAAGCCCAAAGCTCTCACACCTTTTTTTGGTGGACAATATATGTTCTCATTTTCACAAAAGTCAAAACATCACAAGTCCAACTAGTACCTAAGGTTTTAAATGACTTCTGCTAACTCTCAAGTATGAAAGTAAAAGTGGATAAATCTCAAGCCTATGTCTCGAAAGGAGTAAGAAGGGTGAAGAAGGAGAAAATCCTAAATGTGAGCAACATCTATTATACCAATTGTCTTGAAAGATATTTGGGATTTAACATGCTTCAAGATCGGTCCAGAAGAGGTGGTTATGCTCATATCATTGAAAGCGTGACGACCAAATAGACAACAAGAAAGGGCGGGTCACTTAATAAATAAGGAAGAGTGAGACTGGTTAATGTAGTCTTGTCAGCTATTCCAACACATCATATGCAAATTAATTAGTTTCCTGAGCACGTTTATGACTTTCTTGATAAAACGAGTCGCAACTCCATTTGAAAGGGGTGTACAGATCACAAATTGCATTTAGTAGGGTGGGAAAAGATTACTAGACCTTAAGAGAATGGCGAACTGGGTGCGCAAACAACACGACTTCGGGCCCACAAGTTATGGGCTCATCTCTTGATTAACAGGTATTTTCAACAAGGACATATTTTCAATGCTTCTAGTAAAGTTGGTTCTCCAATTTGGACACTATTAGAAAAGCCTTACCAAACTTCGTTGAGAGTTGGTAGTTCAAAGTGGGGTGTGAAAGCACAAGTGTGTGGTTCAAATCATGAATCTACAAATAGCCCATTTGTAGAAAAGTCTCATGTTCATATTAGTGACTCAAATTTAAGTATCAGGGACTTACAACAGAATAAAGTATGGAACCTGAATGGTTTATACACCATGATCTTGAAGAACATCCGCCAAACCATTATGAGTATGCCCTTTTGGCTAGATCCAACGATTAAGGATCTTTGGACATTGGCTCCAAATATTACTGGAGAATATTTCGTAAATTGTGCTTATAAGTGGTTGAATGACATATCATCAAGGGACAAAAACTTGCCCCATTGTAGTTGGATCTAGAAAATGACTTTTCCAACCAATATATATAGTTCTTCCTTTGGCAACTTTGCCATGATGCCCTACCCACCCGCCATACACTCTTCCAATGAGGAATCATTACATCCAATACTTGATCGGTCTGTGGAAGGGATGTTGAAGATGTCAAACATTGTTTTGTTGACTGCCTAGAAGTGTGCAATCTGTGGAAGCATGTGGAGTTGCAAACTCCTCCCTGGCCATCTCCTATGACTTGCACAACGGTTTGGATGAAATGAAATCAACCTCCTCCAATGGTAGCATACTCCCGGTACTACTCTGGACTATTTGGTGCTAGCAGAATAGAAGAGTGTTTTAAGACTCTAGCGAACCCATCTAGATTATGGTGGCAAAGGTAAACTCATATCGCAATGTTATTTCCCATGCATATGATACTCCTAGGCGCATCAATAATAACATGCATATATCACTTCAAACATATATGGGTAGTGATGTAAACGGTTACGAATAATCACGAATCCGAACTAACTTAATAAATTTGGATAAAAACTATTTAGTATTTGGATCAAATCACACTTGACTCAATCAAAATTTGACATTGTATGGATTTACTAACGTATTTTTTGTTTTTGACTTATAATCCAACCTGATAAATAACAAACATAAATTAGTGTTTAGATGATCAAGATAATACTACTTGTCACTCTTACTTAATAATAAATTTTGTATTTTTTGTTGATAATATTATAATAATATAATATATTTATTTTAAATTTTGTATTAATATTAGTTTTTTAAGTTGATAACAATGTAACAAATTGTTGAGATACAAACAAGTCCCACATCGATAAAATAAGACAAAAAATAACAGCTTATATAATACAAACATACTTCAATGATTGAGAGACCTTTTGAGTAATGACCAAAAGTAAAACCGTGAGAGCTAAGGCCCAGAGCGGACAATATCTCATCATTGTGTAATAACCCTCTAAAAATAATACTTATAAAATACCCCCAGACAAATACCATAACATAACCCCATCACAAATCAATAAATTTATTTTGAAATTTAAATCATTATTTGATTTATGTATTGATAACATTACATTTGTAATAAAATATCAAATAATTAATATTTATTTTGAAATATTAAATTTTTATTAAAAAAATAAATTTAATTATATTGATTCAATTTAATCCAATCAATTCGTGATTAAATTGAATTTTGAAAAAAAAAATAACTTAATCTAACCCATTGAATTTTGATCTAATCAAGTAACAAACCTATCTAAATCCAATCTAATCTAACTCACTTGCACACCCAAAAAAAAAAAAAAAAAAAAAAAAAAATCTGATTTT